TCCGTGGTATTGTAATTCTTATGTCGGTCCTTGGCTTTCTATTCCGCTCAATATGCTACATCAAAAGGCCCGCTAGTTTGAGACAGCTCTGTATGGAAACAAAGTAAAATTACCACAACTGCACTGATACGGTTAGTGGGGAACGTCCCAGAAGAGCCCGTCCGTCTTATTCGGAGGGGATAAGTGCCGAGCTGTAGATGCTCAATCGTGATTGGCTGACATCCTAACTAATCAGGACATGCCATTGTCAGGACCGTAGACACGGATTCACGGATTGATACACAGGATCGAGGATTTTGCTCAAGTTTCCCGGGTCGCTTTTGTTCTTTTCGTCCAGCGGCTGTTATTCGCCTAAAAGATACGAGTGAAAAAGGGGTGTAGCTCTGTTCTTTATGTCCTCAGCGCGGGACAGTATGCTTGCCAACGCGATGATTCGCATAAATAAATATCTAGTAGTGTTTTGAACTGGGTTCTAGAAAGAGCGTGGACAGCCGTCAGATCGGTGATGAAAAATCTGTTATCCAAGCTTCATTCAGACAGGGTATAAGTAAGAATTAGGTCCCCTCGGAGGCGAAGGTACTCCAGGGCGAAGAGGTCAAGCACCGCGAGAAGCGGCTCGCAGTCCACGTATTTGAGGCCGTCAACCATTTTCGTAGCGGCTAGCTGGACACGCCCAATGAGGGTGTCTTTCGTGCGTCCTGAGTAGACAACTTGGTTCGCGTATTCCAGGAGCAGTCTGATGTAGGCCTCATAGAGTATTTGGAAGTCCATGCGAGTGATACGGGAGAAGGTGCGTCGGATCATCCGTAAATTGGCGAATGCCTTTTAGGCCGGTTTCTCATAGTGCAGTGAGAAGGACAAGTTTGAGGAGACCCAGATACCCAAATCCTTTTTGGCGTCTACCCTAATGATGTTTTCTGGTCCGTTCTCACCATGCATGACAAAGGCATTCGCTGAGCCTCCTCCAAATGACATATGGACGCACTTTTCGTTATTCAGAGGAAGATGCCAGTCCACCGACCACTGCTCTGCAGCGTCTACATCCGTTTGGAGGGCACTGGCATTGGAACTCCAGGATTTCAATTCGTCCGCAAAAGGTAGACATGGACTTGTAAGAACATCTGGAAGGTCGTTGACGTAGATCAGAAACAGCAGTGGTCCCGAAATGGAGCCTTGAGGAACTCCAATGGTGACCGGCGCTGGAGGAGAGTAGGTCGAGCCTACTCTCACTCGGAATGACTTATCTGATAGGAACGCCTTGATCCAGTGTAGGATTTTTCCCTTGAACCCCGTAAGACTCGAGTTTGTGTAGCAGCAGGACGTGGGACCCTATCAAGGGCTTTTGAGAAATCGAAAAATATGGCATCCGACACGAGTCCCTCGTCCTTGGCCTGGGTTATGCTGTCGATAAACACGAGCATGTGTGTTACGCTAGAACGGTTTGGGAGAAATCGGTGTTGAGCTGTAGATATCAGGCTGCTGGAAGTAAGGTGATCTAGGATAGGTCGCTTCAGAATACGTCCAGAATGCGGTCACTTATTATCCCCCTCAAGGAGAACGCAAATGTTCTGTTTCTTCGGCGATGCCGCATGTATTTGAACAATTACGCTTCCGTTTTTCCAGATGAGGTCCAGAATGATAGCTTGTCTTCGAGTGTCCCGCTTGCAGATTTCCTATTTACATCCGTTTCAAATTTTACGAAATACCAGCTCACATCTGTGTCCGCTGTGGTCACATTTGAAAAAACTTTTGGGACATTTTGTAAGAGGACGTCGAATCCTTTTGATTAGCCTTCGGATCACCCGACTGCGTGCCGTATTTTTGGAGACGAAGCTGGTGTCAGTCTCATGAACTTTCTGGACAATGGTCCTATGTTAGTCTTCCAATGAAGCTAGTCCGAATTTAACTTGTTAAAGAAAGATGCGCATTCCTGAAAAGTATGCACGTTAGAAGGTTCGAATCAATGTTTGAGATTCTGGATTTCCGGCCCAACAGCAGATGAAATCGAATTTCAGCACGCAGTGATCGCTGTGTTCCATTGAATCGTTAATTATCACCTGATCAACGAAGTGTCTTCCGTTGGTGATGACCAAATCCAGGAGGGATGGTAGTTTGTCTGCGCGGTATCTGGTGGGCGCAATGACATGTTGAGTCCTTGCGATGGGCTTCTGGATGCACAAACTTCATTTGCCTGCTTTTCTAGAAAGAATCCAACACTGAAGGCCTTGATACTAATGGGAAATTTCACCCGTGAGGATACCGGTACAGTGTTTCTGCCTGAGAGAAACACTGTTTTCAAGCTGCCATTACGGGAGATAGGTTTCCTCTCATGCCGCACATTCAGCTAGAAAAGATCATTTATTCGAGATGTATATGTAGGTTCTCGATAGTACGGCGAATTCCCGCCCCCGTCTCTATATGTGTTACTTGCTGACTACTGTTGATGTCTTCATTTTTTGCGCGTTTTCGTTTCTTGCGCTCGAAGAAGGGGGCGAGATGGCTCGGTTATGGGAGCGCAAATTTACTGGCGGTTCAAACCGACTCCCCTGCCTACGTTTGGAGAACCTGGCAATGGACGATTTATCACCATTTATCTTGAGCTAATTATACCGTGCGACGCCTTCGAGGGTAGTGCCTAGATGAACCCCAATGGGCATGGTTGGAGACGCTACAAGATGTGATTACTAGACGATGTCAATGACGTTGTTGTTGCCAGTTTATATCCAGGGTTTGTGAGCGGATGTCTGAAGGTGTAGCCAACTACGAATAATTGTGGTGGGCTGGCGCTATGTCCCATCCCATTCCACTTTCATTCCCTGGTTCACGGCATGTGCTGTTAATGATAATGATAGCGGTGATGGTACAGTGGCATCACTTAAGGTCGTTCGTTTCACACACTTGTTAGGGTACCATCCCAGTAAGCGATCTTATCGGGATTAAACCGCAAGCGAGGTACATACGCGTGCGGACCGCGTCGTCGCAGCTTATAACAACGAGTAAGATAATGATGCATGCATAGAAAAAATGAAACATTTTCCAATTGATTGAAAACAAAATAGTTACAAGAAAACAGTGTTTTATTCAATAAGACAGAATAGATACGTCGCAGCTTATAACAACGAGTAAGATAATGACAGATGCATAGAAAAAATGAAACATTTTCCAATTGATTGAAAACAAAATAGTTACAAGAAAACAGTGTTTTATTCAATAAGACTAAGAGAATAGATAGAACGCCTCTGGTTGCCTGACAATGCCGCTTCGGTGAGAACCATTGATGGGGCGGGGCTCTCATGCCCTGATCTCACATACCACCTGCACCACTGCAGTCAAGACCATTTGTGACTTTCACGTTGGTAGGCTATATCCACTTTATCCTAGCTTCTATTAATTACCCTGCTCTGGAAATGATAATTTTCTTCTGTGATTGCACGCAGTATGGAACATATTTCCGTGCCAATTTAATTGATGTAGTTTTTTCCATTTGGATTTCTTTGTGCAGTTGATTTCTTTTCGAATTTCAGCGTAACCGACTAGATTTCCCCGTGATACATATGCAATACCTTAGAGACACTTACGGTAGAACACAGGCACACTTTTCTTGCCTTCAACACACACCTTACACGCTTCACATTTGTAGAATGAAGCTGGACACCACCGCGTCGCAGCCCTTTCCTGTCATCAGCTGGCTAAGTTTTCTTCGACCTCAGGGGTACCTCAAGTGAAGAGAATCTGAAAAGTCTTTAAAATTTCTGGCATCCGATTTGGCAGCAAAACCTCCAACGAACGCGCGACACATATGCACACAAATGAGTGCTTTCATTGTTCATAAATGGTCTAACGGATCATCTTTTTTTGCATTTGCCAAGTCAAGTAGCGGCATTTTTTATTTTAAGTGTACAAGGCGACACCGAAATTGATCGTAGCATTGTTTAATATTTTTATCGTTTTGTAGCTGGGTGGAATCAAATCCAAGGAGCACACTGTCGTTCACAGTATCCAGACCTTTTAGTTGTTCCCCCTGAACGAACTTCAGACTGGGGGTTGAGTATGCTGCGGACATGTGGTCGATAACCTAATCGACCACGAATCTGGATCGGAGGGTCAGCCATCATGGACCCCACTCAAGAGAACACCCTCTGTAGATTTTAACGAGTCCACGACTACTCAATCATGAGGGTTGAGGAAGCGCGAAACTGCCTTTGGAATACTGCATTCGGCTATATGTAGACACATGTTGACCTATATGTACGGTGGTCTACAATAAGTATCTCTGTGTTAAAGATTTGGTCAATGCATCTACAACAAGAATAAATTTTGTTGGATTTTCACAGCTCAGTCACTAAGGAGTGTTAATGGGCCTTCTCAGGACACTTGTGGGCAACTCAGATGTGATAGCGACTAAGCAGATGCGCGAAGGTTCTCGCATTCATATGTAACATCAGTTTGAAGTTAAGAGAAATATCGAGTATCTGTCATTCCTTTCGGACTTCCTTCTCAAAACACATGCATGCTGAACTCAATTGTCTTTCCGGTTTAGTCCATCAGGGACACATAGTATCTTTCGAAAATTTCAATCACATTGTGCTAATACTGACACCAGCACGGGGCTTCTCTTTCACAGAGGCTCAAGAAACCCGCGAAACTCACTAGGTTTCAGGTGTAATTCATTAACTATCCCACATATGCATGTGATGCTCATTTTTCAGAGCCCATGTTCTTGGAGGAAGACGCGTAAACATCTGAGAGGTCAAGGCAGAAATATGAGATCGGCATGAAGATATAGTGGTTGAAGAAATAGATAAAAGCGGGAAGGGAGAACAAATTGTACTACCGCCATGGTGTAAAACATCACAACGCACCCTAACTACGCTTGTGCTTAAGCTACACGAAAGTTATATTTAGCTGGATGAAAGGAAATCTTGAAAGTTTTGTTTTAATTGATCGAGAAATGGTCTCTAAACCAAGTCGTACTTTTGAAAGGTAATTGGAATTTCGCGGTGGAATTGAACTGGGATGCACTTTTGTATAGTTGCAAAGCTAGAGAGCTTTATCACAATAGAGATTATCTGAGTATTTCACTGGAAGGATCGTTTGTGCAGACTGTTGCGGGTTTGTTAATGGTTGGAAGTGGAGGAGGATAGTGGAGGGTGAAATACTAAGCGAAATTGAAGAGTCCGTCCAGACGCTGAGAAATCTTATCTTAAATTGGATAAAAATGGATGGAACAAGGAATTATATTCCTTACAATCGTTCAAAGGTGGCTGGCAGGCCAATGCCCGGGGTGAGTGATTAATTTTTGCGACACGTCAGATTTACCTCACTGACTTTTTACTTAATAGTTTAAACGGCATTGACTTCATCCTAGACTTGTTTACGCATTGGACGGATGCGCTGGTAAATGGAAAAGGAGATTCTTAGGGCTAGTGAACATACAGTATCCAGTCTTCTACGTTCAGATTCATTTCAAACCATTGAAATTGACCATCGTGCTTCCAGTCCTCTAATTCACCTGATTAACAATCACGGCGCGACTTTGAACTATCCATGAAGCATTTTTTCAGATATAATTTGAGTCTTTTAATGCTCATGGATTATTGACCATTGCTAGTAATGGCCAATCAAGCATTATGCGTACATATGCCATGTAGGGCATAAAGACCAGCCTCATATCGAGTTCAAACACCACTTTTTATATAGAAACACCGGTAGCAGTCCGGTTAATTGTGCAACTTCTGGTTTATCTCCAAGGCTGGAAGTTCGCGGTGTTCTAAACGCGCCGATGAATCGCAGCATAACCCTAATCCTATATAACCATTAGGTGAGAAATATTTACTCTGTACTATCTGCCCGTGACGCTGAGGAAACTGCGTGTGATGCAGTCGTTTAGTAATTTTTAGAAAATTCACATTCTTGGCAAACATATAGGGATAGCGTAATTGGTTGGCGACATACCTATCATGGTCAATATATAGCTGATTGAAGGTTGGTTTAAACATCTACGGAGTTCAGAACTAATTGGTGGAAGCAATGATTATGGTTCTCAATTTATGGCGCAAGCCTACGTTAGCAAATAAAGTTCCATGGGCTAAAAATAAAAAAGGTTGAGACGCGAAAGCAGCTCCTCATCAAGATCACCGACAGTACAGCAACGGTGATGTGTACGCTTCCTGCACGCACCTATTTAATCACTACTGTGTTTTCACGTTTGGCCAGGTTCTACTTGCGGGGTTCCCATCACAGGAAGTCTCAATCTTTGTAAGAGATGACTTGGCTGTCCGGTGGGAACGCAAGGAAAATAAAAGGCATCTATATCGAAATTTATGATTACTTGTAGCCAAAAATATAAGTGTTCCAAACATGCGTTCAGTGCCTAAGCTTGAGTAAGGCGATATAGGCTTAAAAACAACTGTGTAGTACATTTTAAACACCTTTTAATGGCATAGAGATTAGGGTCAACCACAAAAGATGGATGTAATATGAAGATTTAAGGGTCTAAAAAGTGAAATCTTTTTTAGTGAATATACGCCCATTTGCAAACTAATTTGGTATTTCAAGAGACTCAACTGAACCCTGGGACTGCGCCCACCTAATGAGCCCCAAAAAGGGCGAAACCGGTCATGGGCTGTCGATGGATTTCCAGCAACCTTATGAGAAGTACAATACAAAGCTATACATATATCGCAATATTTCAAATATTGTAGCGACTGAAACATGAGGTGGCCTGGTGCAGCACATTCAGTTGCCTGAGAACATCACAAACGAGAGATTCAGCTGGGTTCCAGGTGAGTCTCTCGAAAAAACAAAAATTAGTTTTTGCCGATGAGTGCATATTCGCTAATTTCGTGCAATTCGGTTTCAAGTAGAACATAAGTTTGACGGAAACCAGGGGACTGCGCCTACCTGATGAGCCCCAAGTAGGGCGAAACCGGTCGTGGGCTGTCGATGGATTTTCAGCAACCTTATGAGTAGTACATTACAATGAAATCTTGTTTATTTGTTTTGAATAATAAGAGAAAATTTCCTTGAAAGAGGATTTCGGTTTTTTGGAGACTCCCTTAGCAATAACCGCTGTTCCATATGATATTATAATTTTTACACTTCTCCTTCCTTTACGTATTTATTGAAGAGCTTATTGTGAAATGAGTGAAATTAATTTAGCCCCCTGACGTTTTCGTCAAAAAAAGTCTAGAATTGATTCAAACTCTTGGAAGGCTCTTCCTTTCACTGACGCTAGACAAGATAACTCTTGTAAAATTACTCCCATTTTCGGCTTTGTTTCAACGTCCATCGTTTACATGCTAGCGCATTTGTGTGAGAAGCCTAAAATAGGACACAACTGAGGGAGAAATTTTCCTCTGTTCTTTTTGGACGTTGACCGAAAACCCCTGGTTGTATTCTAGAACCAGGTCTAAACGAACGCATAATTTATTAGCAGAAAACGCGTAAAGATCAATGCTTCTATAGATACCAAGAATTTAGGCACATTTTTTATCAAGTTGAGGTGCTTCACAATAAAAGCCGTGTGCGAAGGGATCGCCAAGATTATCTGTCTTCATATTCCATCTAAAGAAACTTGGCATAAAGGCTGGGCAGCATTTAGTAGTAAACTTTTGTGATCACTGTTTTATTATTTCTTGTGATTGTATACCGCTGTGATTCTTTGTTAAATTTATATGGTTATGCCTTGACAGGTAGCCGATAAACGGTTGCAATCAGTTCTCCAAATATCATGCAGTAACGTTTAAATGGAACGTAGATCAATAATAGACCAGTCTACTCTAGACGTTTGTAGGTATTTTAGGGTCGCAGATAGCATAGAGGTCTTCAAACTTTGCTTTTGTTTCTAAGGAAACAAACGCCGACGGTCAGGGTGCAAGCAGAATATTTGTGAAGCAAAATGCTGCACCATGGTCGATTGTAGACCCGAAGGAATGGATATTGTTTTTTTCATCAACCAGTTCGCTGGTGTAGTCTAAGATAATTGTTGATTATCTGTCAATAAGATGTCTGGGATCAATACAGTCTAACGTAGAATGCTGATGGGGAATATAAAGTAAACGTACAACAGAAAATCAATAAGGGCTCTATATCACATGCCCACTATGCCCGTTTTCTTAGCTTCTATAAAGCATTACATAATTGGCCTTCACATAGCAGCGATGGACAATTTTTCCATGTTGACAAAAGTCTCTGCTCTAGTGTTATCAAAGGCTTTTGCGTCTTTAATTATCAACATCAGGTTGATTTGGTTTATTTTAAACAATGCACAATTTAGACATTGCTTGACAAGAGCACTTTCATAACTTTTTACTGGTAGTAAACATCGTGTTTTTCCTTACAAATAAGCGAATTGAAGCAGTCAGGCTAACCCGTCCATTATAAGAATGCGAAAAGCGAACCTCTGTGTTATATTTGGATAAGTCATTCCCCATGATTTGAGTGAGAATACAACTACGTGTTTGATACCTGTCTTTAATGCTTATAATGTAAGCCAAGGCAATAGGTTACTTGATAAAGTGGTATAGTTGAAGGGCCTACTTTGTTCTTAAATTCTAAAAAGACATTTATTTTAATAACCCGCAATCGCATACCCAAAACCAAATGGTTTGGTGATTCATCTGAATAAACATATCCGACAATAGAAGAAGTATTGACAACCTATCGTCGGTGACCACGTCAAGTGGTGCAAATAAAAGCTGGAAAAAACATAACCTACATAAAATCCAAAAACCAGTTAAATAAAAAAGTTAGTCGTATCAAGTTCTCCTTGCTTTTTCTCTGCAAAAACGAACAGGACGTCGGAATCTAAAGATTCAATCACAAGAAGTTTGGACTAATTTCCTTAGCGAATGTAATAAAGGCTTTAATTAGATTTTAGCAGGACTGAATTGAGAGCGCTTTTCGTTTTGGATAGTGAAGGTAGAGGCATAGACTTTCTCAATATACAGTGTGTTAGTGGCATCTGACTGAATTACCTTCTATGGTAAATTAAGAATTTGTTTGTTGCTAGCAAAAAAAGCCGTTCAAATGACGATTCAGTTTCACTTTCACTCACCAATTAAGGCATTTTTGGTTCACAGTGATTTTATCGTGATGAGAATGAAAAATTCCAACCGTGAAATCCTGATGAACCGCAATTTGTCCGCCTGAATACCCGTTTGCCTACAGACTGAAAGACGTTGTGCGGACGATCAAATGTCGCAATTAACTCCGTATAGTGTTTCGGCTCTTCTGCAATAGACGAAAATTGACGAAAATACCTCCTTATTCGCATTGAGCAGAAGTAGATACAAATCATCCTATACTTTTTCGCGGTAAGGCTGATCCTTAGTTCAACACGCAAGCAGATATCATGATGCAAGTTGTTTCTACGTCTAACCGTTCAGTACTTTTGTTTATCTTTACAATCCGTAGGTTGATATTGCAAGTTTATTAGTCCTTAGAGAAAGCTATTTGAAGATTCAAAGAAGGTCCAGTGTGAGAGCGAATTAACTTCTGGCAACCCGAGTCAATACAGATTAGAGCGCTATTTGCAAACACATTGGTAAAGTCATTCTACAAACACGTTTACATCTAATTTTTATTAGGATATTGATGGCATCTATTTTTGACACTCTGCTTCAGCAAGTTGAATGCTTTCCTCAATCCCTATATTAACTGGAGGTGAAACCAGGCAAAATCACATCTGTGCTGCGACCGCCGTGATGACACCATAACCAATATATACGCTACACTTTGTAGTGTATTCCATCGCTATTTAGACTATTGACTGCATAAAATGTTACATACTAACTCCTGTTTACACCGCAGTAATCCTACAAACTGGTAGTGCCTTCGAAGTGCAAATCTTTAACGCTTTGTAGAAGGAACATGACTTAGCAAAAAGCCAAAGTTTCAACCACTGTTGTTTAGAACATCGATCGTACCATTTACATTATGTTCATGGGCTGGGGAGCAATACTGATGTTGAGCAATTAAAAATTACCAAACTGCTAACAGTTGTGTAATCCAATAAATTTCGTTACGATGACTCTCCTCGGTTTTTCCCAATGCGTCAATAATTTTTCTAAACCTTGGTGGATGAATCCCTGTCCTCAATCTCTTTGACCAAAATAGCCGGTCGCTGAAAAAGAGATTCCATCAAAATTTGCATAATACTAGATACATCCTTCAGATTGCTTCACAGTATATTGTTATACATATGCGGCGGCAAATTCGGTCGCAGTTTAGTCAGTAGTAGCAAATTTTTCGTGTGCATTCCAGCGTCCGTTGGCATCGGTG